AGTAAAAATACATTTTATTAATTAAGCTTTTTTCGGCGTTTTAATTTTCAAAAGTTATAGTTTTTTTTAGTTTCTTTTACTTTATTTATAGAATTATTTAGAATATTGGCACAATGATTTTGCACTACAAAATCAGGATTGTTCTCCCATATTTGGATGTCATTTATTACTTAAATAAAACCAATTATTACAAATACTCCCCATTTTGTGGGGACATAATCTACAATTATTATCTTTTTTTGATATTTGTATCTTCTTCTTTGCTATATATAAATACATGTTTTACTATTTTAATACCTATCTTGTATTCTATTTAATTTGAATAAAATTTTTACACAAATTTGTATTACAATTCATTTTATTAAAGTTTGTCGAAACTCATTCTTCTTAATTAAAATATATTAATTTATATAATATTATATATTATTATTTAAAAAACAACCAAAAACTTTAGTTTTTATAATTATTACAAATGTGGTACCAAGGTTTCGACCAATAATTAATAATATTTATACAATCATTAAAACTATATTTGAAAAGTTGTATTTGGAATATTTTTTAAAAATAAATATAGAAACTCGTTCATTACTATTTAAATAGTATTTAAATAATAAGTTGAAACCTTGGTACTCTTCGAAACTTTAGTCCCAAATTTGTATTAATAATTAAATTTTGTCATGATAATTAAAATATATTGTAAAAAAACAACAAATTTTATATTTTAATTAAATTGTACATTATTTATAAAATTTGTCATTGTTGTTTTGATAAATAACAATTATGATTTTGGACATATAAATTACGCTGTAATCAAAATGAATATGTTTAATAATCAACTGAACTTATCTGAGAGATACCAAAGTATTTAAGTTCAGTTTCAAATAATAAAAAATATTAAAAATTGAATAATTCAACACACGAAATGTTTTCATTTACAATGTTTGTTAATTTTATTAAAAATACTTACTCTTTTGAGCTACATATGAGGCAGTTTAAATAATAAACGAATACTTCCATTATTTGATCAAAAAAATGACAACTAAAATTGAAAAATAAAAAATGGCTAACATTATGTTATGATTATCATTAAAGTTGACCAAGGAATGATTTAATATTTTGTTTTTGGTCTCAAAAAATGTATGTTTTTATACAAGTGATTATTGTTTTGAAGAGTTGATAAACTCAATCAAATTAATTTAATGAATCTGATTGCATTTTATTATTATTGATACAAATCATATAGTTTGTATTTTCTAGGTTCAAGTCATTCAGCTATGATGTATTTATTTATGAAAAAAAACTTGTACTTTTTTGTAATAAAAATACTAAAGAACAAATCAATACTAAAATTATTTGCTTCAAAAACTACTGCATAAGTTTTTATTTTTTCCGATTTTAAAGTATAAGTAACGTAAATTAAATAAATACATATTTGTATGAAAATGAAAATTGGTATTAACAAACTAATTAAACTTCAACTCATAATGCTATACAAATGCTATCGCAAGAAAATGTATTTAGACTTGCATCAAAATGCGAATTTCCAACACCCGAACTTTCAGCGAGTACATCTCTGGCGATCTGTAGTCTTGTTGGAATGAACTTTGTTCCAATCATATCAAACAACCAATTTTTCTTTCATCGGCTCGAGTCGAAAAACATTCTCACAATCATTTCGTATTCATACAAAACCGGCTTTTCCATAACAGCAAAGGTATGCAATAACTCTGGGTGTTTACAACTCAATTCAGTAACAGTGGCAAACCCTTTTTCTAATTTCAAAGAACAAGTCATTTCCATCATCAACTTCTTATTAAGTCCATACATCTCTCCTCCACACCCCAATCACTCCACAAATAGTTCCGAAGTTATTCAAAAATCTTCCAATAATCAACAACAGCAAACACTAGAACAACAAAAAGTTGAGAAAATTGACACTCCAAACATAATTAAACATCCAGACACAACATTAAAACCAAATGAAAAACCACTTGTTTCAAAATTCGAAAATGAAATACCTTTTATACTTCCCAAAATATCGGACGACGATGAACCCATCAAAAAAGGACCTCAAGAGGACGTCGGTCCTTCTTCTATTTTTACTTTTAGTGACTTGGACGAACTTCCTGTGTTACGTTCGAAATTACCTGTCGTGACGAAATTACCGCCACCAGAAAAGCAACAACCAAAAACTCAAAAGAAGTCTAAACAACGTGGACAAACACCACCAAGACAAGAAAGTAGTCACACCTTCACTTCTTTTCGTCATCAAGACATTAAACAGATTCCAACTGCTGCAAAGAACTCCGACAAGCTCTTCCAGCAATTTAGTTCAACAGAGCCGCACTCTGATACATCTGATCAAAGCACGGCACCACCGTCTTTGGTATCCTCTTCGCCAATTGGAGTATGATATTGGCAACTCAAGTGACAACACTTAATGTTGTTAAGGGAATTACTTTAATCAAATTCTCTATTTATGTTACAAACGAAAAAACGGGTGCATTACAAGAGAGGACAGAGTATACAAAAATCAACTTAAAGACTTGGAATTGTATTTAAAATATAGGACCTGTTTATTGTGAGGCATTCTCATCAGTGGGTCCCGTGGGCTGTTCTGCAGCTGGTGGAGGGACGTCCGACTTTGCGGAGATTTCCTTTGCCTTGTTTTGTTTTGCTTGTTCTTGATACTTTTCTTTATCGGTCTCCGGCAAATCTTTCCACATCTGTGATAATGTCGACATCCCCTTTCCACGACTGCCTTTCTCTCTCACGTTCTCTCTATGATCTTTACAAAAGAGAAGGAATGGATTATACTCGGCTCTGTTTTGAGCAAATTCGCTCTTTCCTTGTCTTCTTTTCTTTCCCATAGCATTGCCTAACATGATGTCTTGAACTACAGCAGCCCTTCTAAAAGTCTCTCGGATATCTTCACTTTCACTGGCCCACATCTGTTCGGCCTTTTCATTTGCTTCGTCGACTTCATATTCTTTTGTTTTCACCATCTCTTTCGCACGCCAGTATATGTACACAGCATGGGACAACTCTTCAATCTCTTCAGTGTACATTGAAGGCTTACGCTTTCGCTCTTTCATTTCTTGTTCAACGGGTGGCACTGTGTTCATCGGGTTGTTGAGCTGTTCTTGTTCATAAACGGCATTAATCATATAGTTTGTTGGATAGCTTTCCATCTCTTGCGCGCTCTAGTATAAAACCTAGTTCTTTTTCTATACCTAAATTCTTTTTTGTGAAAACCAAAATATGGCGCTTTTGTCTTTCATTTATAACTTTTTTATATCATTTTTACTATAATTCTATAGTATCTTGAAATAATAGTTTTACTATTAGGGTTAGTTTTTCTCTTTTTGCAAATTTTATCACTGTGTTTTATCTTTTCTTAACTTTTCTCATTTCAAAGTTATCTCAAATCAATTTTAGTTATTCAAAATGTGTTATATATAACAAAAAAATAAATTTTAAAATGTTATGTATAACATTTATAATACCAAAAGAAAAACAGAAATCAGGTGGATGTTGAGAAGACGAGAAAAACAGAAAACAAAAACTCGGAACTTTAAACAGAAATGGTTAAGTGCAGTCCAGCGATACTCAAGAAGTGCATTCCGAATCTCCTTTGTTTGTTAATGGGACGTACAGTGCTGATATATGAGTGACATAGAAATAACGATTAGGTTCCCTTTTCTGTACATTTTTCTCGATTTGGGGAACGCTGTTCCTTGTTGTGATTCTTGCGACGTGTGACAACTACCCAGTCAAGAAGGGGAAACTTCTTGACTTTACCGCAGACGATTTTGTGACACTAAGAATTCAGACTGGTATTGCTGCAGGATTTTATCTTCTTTTTGTGATCGGATGTGGAATTTGGTCTGGGATTCAAATCTTTAAGAAGATCAAGACTGGGAATAAGGTCGAGTATTATTGATTCCTCTTGTTGTGATTTGTTTATTATTGGTTCTTTAATTAATTATTTAATTAACTATAATGCTATACCGTCCAAATACAATTTAAAGAGCATTGCTATTAGGAACTCAATGAAAAATAAAATCGATCGATATTATTACATTATATCAATTGTAATATTCATTTAACCTAGACAACTATCTGATATATAAAATTAAGGGTTGGAACTCACCTTGACAATGCCAAAAATCAAGCCGAAGAACCACCACCAGAAACTAAGCAAAAAACACTCGATCGAAAAGAAGATAGGTCAACACAACCAAAAGATGCGAAGACTCGCCAAAAAGTTCCCAGAAATTCGTCGTAAGATCAAGACCGACCCAGGAGTGCCTCATCTGTGCGCTTTGAAGGAACAACTCGTCGAGAAGTACGAAAACGCTTTGAAGAGAAAAGTCGAAGCTAAGGAACAAGCGCGTGAGGCAGCTAAAGCAAAGAAATTGGCGGCAAAGGGTGTGACGCCTGCCACTAATAACACAGAAAAAAAATAAATATTGAATGGTTTTTGTTGTCAGAGTTATTTTAACAAATTCTATAAATAAATAGTTATTTTACTATAAAATGTTCTTTCGTAATATCTATTATAATTATAGTTTTATTGTAACTTTATTATAACTTAAAGTCACAAAGAATTTATAAAGAATTTTAACTAAAGAATATTATTTCTTTATTATAAAATATATTAGAAAGTATAATCTGAATACCGATAAGTGTTTTCTAGACTTATAAGTTTCAATTAGAATAAAAGAATTAACACTTGATAATTCTTTGTCAAATGAACGATAAAAAAGAGACTCGATTTTTGCTTTAATTCGGGTCAAATATTACAATTAGTAAAACGTTTTTTTCAAAGGAAAATTTGAAGAATAGTTTGTGTGAAAATGATAAAAAAACGGGCAAAATCAACTTGAAAAACTCTTTGAGCTAAAAAGCTTAAAAATAACTCGAAGAAACTCGAAAAATAAAAATGTCGCGACCAAACACGGGGTTCCAACAGATGGCCGATTCATGGGATGACGACTTCATCACACCTAACCAGAACCCACCCAAAGCGACAACAACACAACAACAAACAACCACTCAAGTTGATGATTGGGATGCTGCTTTCGATTTTCAAGACCCAACAACTAATGTCAAACAAAATCAAAAACAAAGCGAAAAAGTTCCACCAAAGACTTCATTGAAGAATAATGTAAAACAACTTCCAACACATAATGGGGCTCTTTTAACTAATAAAACAGAAGACTGGGACGCAGACTTTGGACTTCCTAATACGTTAAACTCCTCAAACCAGAAGTCGCCAAAGTCACCAAGTCAAGGAAAGTCAGTGGCACAACACGCAGATAGTTGGGACGTCGACTTTAACTTGACGGATATCAACCCTTCAACCAACGACGGTAAAAACTCAAAATCGCCACTTTTGGCAAAACAAGAGGGGAAGGGGAAACTCCAACCCAAAACTCCAATACAAGAAACAAAGGAGGAAAATTGGGACGACGACTTTACTGTTCAACCCATAACACAAAAAGATACACAACCCCAACACAAGGAAGCTTCTGAGAGTCAACAAACGGGGAGTATTTTATCGAGTTTGACAGTTGCGAATTTGAATCAAAAGCCGGACGACTGGGAAAACGACTTTGGAGGGTTTGAGACGGCGGAGCCCAAACGGAAAGTTCTTGACATGAAAGTGAAGAGTAAAACCAACAAAAAGAAGCGACGGACGTTAACAAAAGACACACCAAAGAAGGGAGAGGGTTTAACAAAGTCTGCTATCCCGTCGTTAAAGTTTTCGACGCGAGCGGAAGAGAAAAAGGATGAAGACGATTGGGGAGACGACTTTACACTCTCTCCACGAAAGACGGAAGAGAAACACGAGGAAGAAGGACTTCTTGAGAAGAAGACTCCACGCAAGTCGAAACGCAAAACAATTAAAAAGTCTCCTCGTGAGAAATGGGATGACGCGTTTTCGGCTATGAATAAAGAAGGCGAGAGTTGGGACGCAGAGTTTGGTGACGCCACTGCGAAGAAACAAGTGCCACAAATGTCTCCAATGAAAGAGCAATTTCCCGTGTTGAAGATGGCGAAAGAGATTTTAGAACATTTTCCAGATATCACACTCACATTCTACCAAGACATGGAGTTCGACACATACGAAGAACTTTGCGAAGAAAACAAAGGAAATGTGGAGAACCCCACAACATCAATGATCCTCAAATTTTGGAAGGAGGCGTGCGAGTTTGCCAAAAATGGCGACTTTGATGAAGCGGCAAATAAATTTCTTCCAATAGTCAGTGAGTGCATTCAACCATCCCTCCCCGTATCGGATTTGTTCAAATTAAGAGTGTTTTACCAGGCGTTTGTTGTGTTCAAAATAGTTGGCGATAAGAGCAAAGCATTTCAAATGCTCGAATTGGCATTCACTATGTATTCAACCATTTTGGATCCCCCAAACGATGCTTGTTTTTCAAGACTCTCCGCGAAACTTAATTGCGATGTCTTGGAAGCATTTAAAGACGACCAATTCATGGCTAAAGTGAACAAACTGTTTGATGCAATCAACGGATTTCTGTTCCCGCTCCACCCATTCACCGCTCCACCACATTATGTGTACCCGTGGAGAATCGTTGGGGAACTAATTGCACAACTCAGTTACGAACTTGCATTCCACAGATGCTTGTTTGAGGGTATTACCGATGTTCTATTTGAAAAGGTAAAGGCGATCAGTGCAATGTTTCCATCGCAAAAGACACTTGATTACATGAAGAAGTACAATCAACAAGTCGAACTCCAACGAGTAGAAGCCGCAGAAAAGGAAAAGGAAAATATGAAGAACAAGGTGATTACCGTGAAGAACAGCCCAGCAAAGACAGACACAAATAAGGAGTCTAAAACAGCCACTGTCGATGTCGGTGATGACGAAGACTGGGACAAGGAATTTGGATTTGACCAACCTCCCCAGACGGAAAAGAAGGTGATGACATTCTTCAGCTCATTTAAAGAGGAGATAATGGACGAAAACCCTCCCGAAGAGTGTCGGTTGGTTGAAATTGTGAACAATCAGAATGTTGTTGAAGTTGGTCTTCCAAGTCCGTTTGATGTGTTTGATAAGAAGATGAATGTTAAAATGAAAGAAAGAGATCTGATGCAATTTATGAATAAGACAATGGACGACATCAAAGAGAAGACGTGTTGGGAGATCATGAATTTGCCGTTGGACAATAACATCAACGATCGGGTGATGGACAAGATCACAAAGAAGAAGGACGTTAAAGTGATGATCACTGCGTCGTTCCGATTTTGTATGTATTTGCAACAACAGAAAAAGGTGTTTGATGAGTACCTTCCTGCTTTTGGGTTTATCGAGTGTGAATTGTTTCGCATGTACTTTGACTTGAACACGATATCTACAATAGAAATTCTCCAAATTGTGAACATTTGTTATTCTCTTGGAGAGGCACAAACGAAAACAGTTGCGACAAACTGTTTTACGGGGAACGGAATGCTGATTTACCAAATTATGATGAGGGGATATGACTTCCACTTGAGAACTTCAAAATGCGTGAGAGGAAATTGGTCCGATGACGAGTACTTGGAATTTATTGATAAAGAAGCTGAGACGATCGACTTGAAAAGCTTTGACCCACTGACTAACATATACACCTCGTGGGTACTTTGTGATGCAATTTTACTTGAATTGGGATATTCTCCTGTTACATTTACAAAACTTGCTGGAGAAGATAGAGCCTTTGACGCCGATAGAAAGTACTTAAATGGATGTCTTGAGAAGTTAAAAGAAGTGTATCCGAAAATGGAAACGAACTTCTTTAAGGCACGAGTTGCATTTGTTCTTGGTGTTTTGTTTAATCATTTTGAGGATTATGGGAATGCAGAAAGCACGTTATTTGACGCGTTTTATATACTTCGAAGTGAAGATTGGTATATGCACTTATTGATGACACCGTTGGGTATCAGTACATGTGCATTACTTACACAAGTTAGTGTCACTACAAAGAAGACTGAATACTGTAAGTGTCTTGTTGGCGTCGTCTTCTTCTTGGCGCCATATGTCAGTAACATTGATATATACTCCACTGTAAAAAATGTTGGGATCTTAGCAACACGAGTTGGTGAGGAGAAAGGTGCCATTGAAATGTTTAAGTGGCTGATAGAAATGTATTACAAAGAAGAGAAATACAACGAGTTTTTATATACCGTTGCTATGTTGGCTGATATCTACATCTCCATTGGATTATATGATAGTGCGTATCAACTCCTTTCACTCAAGTTTGTACCAGTTAAACAATTGAATGACTCGAATATTTCTGCCCTTCCATTGTACCACCAAAATATGCAACACCTTGCGGAGATATTCTTGAGCGTTGGCGATGATATGCATGTTACTAAGACTCTCGAATTCTTTAAGAAGATCAACGTCCCAAGACCCAAAGAAGTTGAACTACAAGTGATGATTGCAGATATGTACTCTCGTCGTGGGTGGTGTGAAGACTGCCTCAAAGCATTGAGCGGAATACAAATAAGCGAGTTTGGAATAGCAGATAGGACACACCGAACTGAAATTGGCGTGAATGTGTGTAAAATCATAGCTACATGTTATAGAAAGAATGGACAGTTTCATCGCGCGATGTCGTTGATTGACTACGCACTCAATTTATGTGAAAGTAACGACTACAGGCTTGTTGGGTCACTCTTTTTCTTTAGAGGGCAATTGCTGAACGATGTCTTAAGTAACACTGTTCAAACGTACCCAAGCGTTTTACGAGATGACGAAGGCGTTGACCCGTTTTTGAACTTCTTTTTTGAAGAGGGAGGGAAGCGTGTGAAAGATGAGAAGGTGATGTTTGAAGGTGAGTGGCAAGTAGTGCAAGAAGCGTTGTATTCCTTTGGGAAATCATTAGATATATTTACGATGTTAGTTGACGAAGGCAATTTGGCAATCACTCGAATGATGCTTGCTCAGACTAGAACATTGTATTTACTTCGAACTCCAGACTATTCGGAAGGATATTCATTCTTATCGACGGCGAAATTGGACTATTTTGAGGGGACTCATTTCATTAAAAGATGGGCAGATATTTTGAAGATCAAAACGACGACAACGAAACCTACAAATTTTGTCATTGATATTGAAGACGCCCGGAAGTTTGCGTACGATGCAATGAAAGCGTTCACACAAGTCTTTGATATTTGGAATATCATACCGTCGTATATCACAATGGCTGAAGTCCAATTCTTGAGAGAAAAACGACAAGAGTCGTACGCCCATTTGCAACTTGCGGTGCAAACCCTTTACGCGTTGGTCTTTGATGGGTCTCGAGATGTTGGACCGAACGTCCCGACAAATTACATTGATGATTTGTTTGAGATGGTTGCAAGAATCGTGAGACTTATGATCCTCTTTGGAAAGGATACAATCAACTCGAATTTTGTGATCATAGACACATACTTGATGTTACAGAACGCAAGAATGAGAGCAGGAAGAAGGAAAAATGAGTTCACTGATTTCACAACAGAGTCACATTCATTGATGACAGAGACTATTTCAAAGAAAGATTTGAAGTTGGAAATGGTGTCTGAGAAGGACTTGTTAATGGAGTTATTGATACGAATGAGTAAGAAGGTAGATAAGAGGGTTGGTTCATATGAGGCTCATGCGACGGAGGCGTTTGCCCTCTTTTCGCAACTTTTGTATTCCAAAATCGTTTCCATCAAGTTGAACATCACACGATACGCAAATTCACAAATCACGAAGAGTGCGTTGCTTGAAGCTAACAAACAACTGACAAAGAACATGTTGGAGATGGTCAAAAATACGCACTTTTTGTACTCGTTTGAACTTCCCCCACTCGGAATCACTCGACAGATTAAACCCAAGTCCGAGATACTTCCAATCTTCTCGCAACAAACAACAGCGCAACCCGTTTCGCTAATGTCGTCGACAATGCAATTTAAGTCGATGCATCTCTTTATGATACTTCAAGTCTTGGGATCGATTGTGTTCTACCATTCATCTGGAGAAATGTGTGTTTGTCAGTTTGGCGTGTTGTCACCAATACAAACAACGATCACAATGGTTGGTATTAAAATAGCAACAAGCATGAATGACAATGGGTATGGGTTGTACGTCATTTCACCAAGCATCACCGTTTCACAGTTACTCGTTTTCTTGTCCCAGAATGCAGATACCGATAAAAAGTCGCGCAAGACGTCATTTGGGTCACTGAAAGTGGGGAAAGGGCAGTGCAAATTTATAGACACGGACATTATGTTCCAAAAGGAAGTCGACAAGATGCTTAAGAAGAAGAAAGGAGTCAGTTTCTTATCAGCGTTGTGCTTGTCGAAAAGTATGAAGCCGTGTGACATGTTGAATGAAGAGCTGACAGTCATGAGTTTGCTGTCGCAGCGGGAGATGGAAGAGACGAAGTTCAATGGACATTTGAAAGACTTCCCACAGAACCCTTTCACACTATATATCATCCCACGACCGGCTATTGTCAACTTGCGTAGTGTTGTGAAACGACAAACTATCACTATGGACGCATTCCTTATGAATTACTTTGCGTACAACATCAATAGAAACTTGAACAGATCATGCGAATCGATAGCACAAGTTAAAAAGAAGATGGAGGAGATCTTTAGATCTCTCGATCTTTTCAAGGACAAGAAAGCGAGCAAATTGATTGTGAGCCCAACTCTGAATATAGTTCCATGGGAATTATTGGAACCATTCAAAGACTGCGTGAGGTATTTCTCTTATGCGTCTTCAGAAAAAGTTGAGAATGTAGCTGTGAAGTCGACAAAGGCGCCGCCACTGTTTTTGTTCTTGAAGTGCATCTGTAACGATTTGCAAACGGAGGATCTGATCAAACAAATGTTGATTAAAGAAACCAATTTGTCACTGTGTTACATGGACGGATTCCCTTCTCGATCGACACAAACAGTTTCACAAGGTTTCTTCACAAATTCTGCGATGAAAACGTTATCAAGTAGTTACCCTGCCGTATTCAAATTGGTCGACATTCATCAGAGCAAATCATACTTTGAACAACTCAAAGAGTACATCTTGGACAACAGAGATTACGTGGTCATCATATCAGAAGCAGATTTATTGGAATGCACCGACTTGCTGTGGTTCATTGCAAATCAGACTAACTTCGGGATCCTTTCGATCTCAAAGTTGAAGCACAGGAAACTCAACGATGTCACTTTGAAGATGGAGAAACGAGAAATGGCGGAAGACAACCAAAAGTACGTGTTCGTCAAACAGATCCAGTCCGACTTGACTGGAAAGACGTTCAACTGTTCCGCCCTGTTCAACGTCAAATCGTTAGATTAATTGTTATGTGTTTTTGATTTTCTGTTATATAAAATGTTATATAAAATGGATTTATTGTTTTTAAAATTGCAAACAAACTTGAAAAATGAATGAGGAAAGTCATACCAATGTTTCTTGTTTATTTCTTGTGTGTTTCTTTTGCTGTCGCGACAGATGACAGAAGTATGAACGACACGAATTTGACGTCCTCTGCTGTTATTTCAAGTTATTCCATACCATCCAATAGTTCATCAAGTGAAAATTATTACACGACGATGGGGTATGTTGGTGCGTTTGTGGTCATTGCCATATCACTTATACTTGCAATTGTGTTGTTTGGGTTAGTTGTGTTGTGTCATTGTTTTGGTACTAATTTTCGCAATGAGTGAATGAATCAAGCGCATTATACAGTATCAGAATTTGGTGTGATAATAATAAAACAATCACTTAGAAGGTTTAGGTTTTCTGGGCTTTTTTTCTTGAATGTGTTTCTTCAACTCAGAAGTCTTAAGACACGGCGAGTTCTTAAACATCTCCGGAAGGACAAGAAAACGGATTTGATTCCTCTCAGAAATATATTCCAATCGCTTTTACTCCATCTTTGCTGTACTGTACATCCTTTGATAGTCATCGTCTCATATATTTATTATATATGTATATATATATATATATATA